CCGCATGGAGCCCCCGGAAGGCTCCGGCCCGCGAGGTGAGTGCGCCCCGGACCCCTGGCCCCGCGGTGCCCGCCGGTCAGCTGGTGGTCGCCCCCGAGGTGGGAGCTCGGCCGGGGAGCCCGCTGTCCAGGGTGCACGTCCCAGGCAAGACCTCCACCACTGTGGGTGGGGCTGGGAGCCCAGACTCCGTCCCCACAAGCCGGGTCCCCTAAGTTTCCTCCCGACCCTTGCTCCGCTACATCCCTTAGCCCCAGAGGGCGGGGGAAAGGCGGCGGCCCGGCCAGGTTTGGGGTCCAGCACGGGGCTTAGAGGACCAGGCTGCCCGCTGGGCTGCCCGTCCGCTTTGTTCGCCGCGGCTCGGAGGGAGGGGGAGGCCGGGCTGGGGGACCTGCGGGGCGAAGGGGGCCGCGATGGGGACTCCGGCCTGCAGGGTGCCAGGAGCGCCTCCTTGCCTCGCGTGACCCCAATAGGGAGGCTGGCGATGGGAGTGAAGCCCCTCGCGGCCCACAGGGTTATCACAAGGGCTTGCGGGGTGATGCACGGCCTAGCCACTTTGCCCCCAACTGCTGGTCCCTCCAGCGATGGCCAAGCCCCGTCCCCAAGCCAACAGGACCAGCTGGGCACGCGGGGCACATATGGGCCTACTTGCCCTCCACTGGCCCCCACTTTCTCTGAGCCCAAAGGCCATCCCTGCCCAAGTGTGGGGGGCAGAGATCTGTTCTGTGCTGGGTACTGGCTTGCGGCGCCTCTCCTGGCATTCCTTGGGCAGGGAGGTGGGGTGCACACCTAGGACTTGGTGGGTGTAGGCTTCTTCCTTGTATCATTTGTGAGGAGGCCCAGACCACTCTGTGAAGTTGGGGTCTTCTGGAGAGCAAGGGCTTGGGGAAACAGATCCCGCCCAGTCAGCTTGAGTTTACACATCAGTCAGTCAGCCCCCTACACCAAGCTGTAGGGCATGGGGGTCCCTCCTGGCTGGGGCCCTATCCCCAGAGTGTTCTCCCTCCTCCATCGGTCTCCTGAGGCCATGTGTGGGAGGGCACCTGGGAGATGATGGTCTGAGTCTGGGTTTGGAATCCTTTCCTTTGAGCAGTGGTTCTCAACCTTCCTAATGCCATGACCCTTTAATACAGTTCCTCATGTGGTGGTGACCCCCCAACCATAAAATTACTTTCGTTGCTACTTCATCACTGTAATTTTGCTACTGTTATGAAATCAGGTGACCCCTGTGAAAGGGTCGTTTGACCTCCAAAGGAATCGTGACCCACAGGTTGAGAACCGCTGCCTTAGAGGGTCTGGAGGGTTAACAGGGAAATCGAGTGGTGTTGGTGTGACTTTCAGGGGGGGCACACCTCAGCCTGGCCCAACCAAGCCAGATGGGTTATCTCCGGAACTGAGAGGTGTGGGCTTGATAAGCAGAGCTACAGCACCTGGGGACACTAGTGATTCTGGGATTGCCTTGCTCGCCTGGTCTGACTGGGAAGGGGAGCAGGCAGGCTGTGGTGCTGGCACTGGAGTCTTTGGAAACCCAGTGTCCCCGCAGAAAGACCAAAAGTGCCATGGGGGAGAGTTGGTGGCCTTGGCCCTGCCCTCAGGCAGCTGTGGGTCTCGAGTCTCAATGTAGCCTGGAAACCCGGGGTGAGTAACAAGGTCCTGGGGAAAGAATGCAGATGTCCCCACCCTTGTGACCATCTCCCCACCCCACATCCACTTTATTTTTTCATGGCATGTGCTCATTCATGCATTCACTTCATTCATTCACAGTGCATGCTCAGGGCAGGTGCTGGCACAGACGTGCTGAAAAAGTAGGCCATCCAACTGGCACAGCTCAGCCGGTGGCCCCACAGCAGCCTTGGGGAGAAGTGGCACTAAGGCACCCAAACTTGTCTCTGCAGTGCTGGGGAGTCAGGCTGGCATGGTGCATCCTGGCCCGGCCTCTTGTTAACTGCCCAACCACCTCCTGCAGTCCTGGGCCCGGGAACCCAGTGAGAATGACAGCCTGGTCACACCATTCCAGCTGGAAACTGAGTGTGGTGTGCTGTGCCTCATGTTCCAGACACAGACACACACACCACTGCCATCAAGTCAGTTCTAAGTCATAGCAACTTGCAGGACCGGGCACAACTGCTTCCACAGGGCTGCAGAAGTAGTAAATCTTTACAGAAACAAACAGCCTCTCCCACAGAGCAGCAGGTGGGCTTGAACCACTGACCTGTCAGCAGCCCGATGCTTAACCCACTGCACACCGCTCTCCTACCTGTTTCCACTGAGATATAGTTCACATACAGTACAACCCAACCCTCTGAAGTGCAAAATTGGTGGGATTTACTACATTGTAACCATAACCCATCTCCTTCCAGAACATTCTCATCACCCCAAAACGAAACCTTACCCCCATGGGCAGTCACTCCCCACTTGTGCCTCACCCGGATTCTGCCCATCACTGCCGGCCTGCTGTCTCTGGATTTCACAGCACCTTGCAACTCAAGGTTACTCATCACTATTTGAGGCTTGTTCCTCCCCCACCCCCAGCAATAGCTGTGCCAGCACAGCATTCTGACTTTTGGTTGGATGATTGCCCCTCGTGTGGACAGGCCACATTTGTTTACCCGTTCCCCAGCTGGCAGTCATCTGTGCCATTTTGTTTTCCGATTGTCCCGAGTAATGCCTTTTTAAAAAAAATCATGATATTGGGCACTCGTACAACTCTTATCCCAATCCATACGTACATCCATCCATCGTGTCAAGCACATTTATACATGTGTTGCCATCATTCTCAAAACATTTCCTTTCTACTTGAGCCCTTGGTATCAGCTAATTTTTCCCCACCCTCCCCCCCTCCTGAACCCTTGATAATTTATAAATTATTATTTTTGTCATGTCTTACACTGTCCGCTATCTTCCTTCACCCACTTTTCTGTTGTCTGTCTCCCCAGGGAGATCATTGCGATCAGTTCCCCCTTTCTACTCCTCTTCCCTTTATCCTCTTGATATCACTACTCTCATTATTGGGCCTAAGGGTTTTATCTATCCTGGATTCCCTGTGTTTCCAGCTCTTATCTGTAGCAGTGTACATCCTCTGATCTAGTCGGATTTATAAGGCAGAATTGGGATCATGACAGTGGTGGTGGAGGGGGAAGCATTAAAGAACTGGAAGAAAGTTGTCTGTTTCATCAGTGCTATACTGCACCCTGACTGGCTCGTCTCCTCCCCACCAAGTAATGCTTCTATGAGATCCGGTGCATAGTTTTGTACGGCCCTGTTTTTATCTGTAGCAGTGTGTACCTGGGATAGCATGGCTGGATCCTGTGCTGACTTTCCTGGGCCCAGGTATGCATAGCTCAGTCTTCCAGCAAACAGCCTGGTGTCTTCGACAGCAGAGGTGCCACAGCAGAGCCCCTCCTCTGCCTCAGCTGCTCCAGCCTTGGGCCACCTAGTATCCCATGACTCTACACTGCAGCTTGCCAGGCACTGGGCGAGTAGGGCCCTGGGTCAATATGCACTGGGCAGGGCAGAGGCCATGCTGAAGAAACCCATTTTGACATCCTCCACGCCCCAGTCCCTCAGGGCAGTGCTGCATCTTCATTGATCTGGCAGGTCTGCAGCCAAACCCTGCAGTCACCTCACAGAGGCTTCAGCTGTGGGGAGGGTGCCCTGCCCCACTCACCTGCCTCTGCTGGTACATCACCCTCATACCCTCTAGGAAGGAAGGTGTCCTTGCTGGCTGGTGTAACCTAACCCTCTGACCATAGCTGGAAACCTCACTTTAATCTCTGGCCAAGTGGAAAAGAGCTTTGTCCTCCCACCTGCCCCCACCCAGCCTGCTGCCTGGCCAAGGTTGTCACAGTGGATGGGGCAAGCTTTTGGCCACACTGGGAACAGCCCCACCTCCCTGGGAGAACTGACACCTCAGCTCCACAGGGGGGTGGGGGTGGATGTGTGTGCAGGCTGAAGGACCCCCAGCCACAAGCTCCCCAGGGCTGGGCGTCCTCTTGGGTGCAGCTGTCTTTGGGCCCCTCAGAAATGTGCAGGCTGCTAAAATTACCCACGGCTGGGGTTACCAGCCTTCACCCCACATCTCTGACACCGCCCACCCTCCTGACACCAAGGAGCGCCCTGCCTCATGGACAGTCTGACTGGGGCCCTGGTTCGAACAGCGACCCTGGTGGGGGCAGGATAATGCAGCTGGCCTAAGGCAGGCACTGGAGGGACAGTTAAGAAGGGTGCAGGGAAAGGGATGGGGGGGCGCAGGGAGGGGCCTGCGGGGGTCCTGGCGGGGACAGGCATGGACTGGCAGGCCGCAGCCCAGGTGTGAGAAGTGGATAAAGAGGTGACAGGATTTGTGGGTAGAGGATGTGACCCTGAGGAGACTGTGGGTGCTCCTGGAAGGGTTGTGGGCAGGGCAGGCTGGAGGGGCCGGGCCCATGAGACAGCCCTCCCAGAGACCATGGGGCCCAGTGGAGGGGGGCGGGGAGAGGTGGCTTCCTGCCTCTTGCCGACAAAGTGTACCAAGTTGTTAAAACAGGTCTATTCCAGCTTTGAAGCCATCTACCCAGCAGTGAACTCCCAGGGTGCCCTGCTCAACAGCCTGTGCTTGCTACCTTTCTCTGCACACAAATGGGCTATTCTGAATTTAGATGCTCACGGTCTAAGGTTGAAGCTGGTGGCTGGGGTGCAGGGGTGAGAGAGGGGTACCGGCTGTGCTGCTCTTCCCGCCCCCCCCCCCACACCCCAGCTTTTCTGAATTTAAACCCAACAGACCTCTTCAGGAGAAGCCAGTTGGCAGGAGGCGGTGTCTCCCCTCTGGGTAGGGTTGTGCTGGACAGAGACATGTGGGAACCTGTTAAGTGCCACCCTCGCTGGTTATGGAGGGGCAATGCTAGCATCCAACTCCATGTGCCCATTCTGCCAACAGCAAGGCCACTGTGTGGCCAAGGAAGCAGCAGCTTCCTGACACTTGTCTGGTGTCCAGGCTTAGGGACCCCACTGCTGGCCACCCCTGGATGCTACCCAGAAGCATCAGGAGAGCCCAAGTCTAAAGTTCTGACCCTACGATCCAGTTGGGCAGGTGTGGCCATCCCTCCCAGCCTTGTGTCCCAATTGGACAGGTGGGGCCACCACCTCCCCCTGTATCCTAGGTAGACAGGGGCTCCTCCTTGACCTTGCATCGGGGGTGGACCTGGTGTTCCCTGAAGGCAGCACCCTGTATCTTTGCTTTCAGAGTACATTAAGGAGGTGGAGGTGCCCCAGGCTACCCTGGGTGTCCCAACCCATGGCACGGGGGGAGGCTGCCACACACCTGCAGCCGAGGACGTGGGCATCCCCATACCTGCACCGGGGCTCCTGCAGGTCACAGAGCGGAGGCGTAAGTAGGGCCAACCTGCCCACCCCACAGGGTCTCTATTAGCTCCTGGGGCCTGGAGCCCACCTCCTGCCCCAGTGTCCCCTCCTGGGTGGGGACATAAGTTGGAGTGAGGAAGGGTGAGGTTCCCCCAACACTCTTGCTGAGCGTGGGCACGTGGGCAGAGGGTGACGCCCACCTGCCCCGCAGAGCCCCTGAGCAGCGTCTCCTCACTGGAGGTGCACTTCGACCTCCTGGACCTCACAGAGTTGACGGACATGTCGGACCAGGAGCTGGCTGAGGTCTTTGCCGACTCAGATGACGAGAACCTCACCGAGGACTCCCCAGCAGGTGTGGGCCTTGGGGAACCATGGCATGTGGGGGGCTATGAGGTTAAGGGCTGTGGGGAACGTGTTGGAGGGTGCTGGGAACTGTGAACATGTCAGGGGCTCTGAGGTGTGCATTGGGGCTAGCTGGGAGGAGATGGTGGCCACTGTTTCTGAACACTGCTTGCTCGGGTTGTGTCGTTCCCTGTGGCTGGCACTGCACATGGCCCCGGCTCTCCCACTAGAGCCAGGGAAGCAGGGTCACCAGATGTGCAGGTGCTCCTGCTGTAGCCTCGCCCTCCAAGCCTTGACTCAGTTTTCCTCTTGACATGGCTTCAAAACCCAAGGGACACAGAGGGTTCCCAGAGAGGTGACGGCACCCACCACCTCTCAGCCCTTAATGAGGGTGCCTGGACGGCACAGAACCCCACAGACAGGGCCAGCAGAAGAAAAGAGGGCCGGTTCAGCCCCCACCCTTGCCCAGGACAACCCCGTGGAATTGGACCCTGCCAATTCCTACCAGCTTCAGTGGCTGGGCTGTGTCTAGCCTGTTAGTCCAACCAGAGCGTGGGGGCTCAGGCCCGGAGCCTGTGCCCCAGGGAGCCAGCCACTAACGAGAAGTCACCCCACCTCCCTGTGCGCCAAGTAGGGCAGAGTGGACTCTTTAGGCCTGCAAGCTGTGAAGCCGCATGGGAGACTAATGAAATTCGGGGTCACACAGCCCCCATGGCCAAGGAAGGGGCTGAAGGCTGATTGCCCTCTCGGTGAGGGCCCTGATGGCCACAATGACCACTGCTCCCCATGTCCCCCTCCAGGTCTACACCCACTTCCTCGGTCTGGCTGCCTCCGCTCCCCATCCTGGACCAGGGTGAGGGTGGAGCAGAACCGTGAAAAGCCCCCTGGTGAGCTGGAGCGGCCCACCACCACCAAGGACACTCTGCTCACCGTGGACAGGCCCAAGGAGGACTGAGTCACCTGGCCTGCCCCGAGACAGATGGGCAGACAGTGGGCAGGCAGCAACTCCTGGCCCTCCCCTTCAGCCCAGCCCAGACCCTGAGTCTCTGAAGCACAAGACCAGCCGCTGGCCTTACAAGCCCCAACCTGCACCAGGACCCCCAGCCTGCACCTTGGCTCAGCCCTCACTCAGGGCCACGGAATGACAAGGGAGAACAGGGAGGGGCGCTGGGCTCAGCAGCTACTGTGCGGCCAATCTTCTAGAAAGTTCCATCTGCAGGGCTAAGTTCTGTCTTTGGCTCTCAGTGGGGAAGGCCCCTCACTGAGCCCCAGGGTTGCAGGCCTGTGACCTCACATGTCCCACCATGTGCTGGGGACTCCTGAAGACTCCCACCTCCCATTTATCTTCCACGAGCCACCCAGCTCCCCACCCTGCCCACCCCTACCAGCTGCACAGGCGGCAAGAACACACAGCTCAAAACACCAGTAACACCACAACCACCTTGGCCCCAGCAGATGGTGGGACAGAGAAGGGCTGGCAGGTCGCCTCCACACCAGGCCTGTGGGAAAGACACACACCTGGCTGGCCACACGTGGTCCACCGCCATACCAAAGTAGCAGTCACTCCAGCCAGCAGCGTGCCCTGGGAGGGTACACAGGACTGCCCCAACCACAACTTAGGGGTCCGGCTGCCTGCCATCTGCCTCTGCCAGTCTGACAGCTGCAGGGAGGGTGATGGCGCCTGGACCCAGTGCCCCTTGTGCTGTGGCTGCAGGGCCAGCTGCAGAGCCCCTCCTCACAGGCAGCTGAGGAAGGCCCTCCCTCTCTTAACAGGAGGGGTGCAATGGTCGTGAAAGGCAAGGAGACTGCCCCTTGTCCCTGGAAGGGTCTGGTGACATGACTGCCTGCCCCACCCAGCACCCTCCCTGCTGCCATCGCTCCTGTTGTCCTTCACACACACCCAGGATTAAAGTGTCCCCTGTCTACGCATGCGCCCGTCTCCTTTATGGAACTGGGGGGCCATGCCGGGGTACTGGCGCAGACACTCCCCTGGGGACGCTGTGTGCAGGCTGCACTGATCCAGGTCACATTCTGGGGAAGAGTGCCCTGGATTTCGAGTCCCCAGGAGCTAGGACATGCGCCCGTCCTCCTCAGCACAGAAGCGGGCACCAGGGGCAGGCGAGGTGCTGGGCTACAGCCGGCTGGCCAGCATCTGCAGGCATGTGTGGGCGGCGACAAAACGCCATCAACAATGAACACTTTACAAACAGTGGAGACCAAAAGCATCCCAAGTTGGAGATTCTATTTTTGAGGCTCTGAGGCAAAGGACAAATTGCTTGGAAAATTTAAGACAACACTCCTGTATCTGAGCTCTGGTCCTGGGAAGAGCCAGTGGGGGTGTCCCATGGCACCGCCAGGGGGGCCCTAGGAACCACGTGCACACAGTGGGTGAGGCGCTTACTCTCCCCGCCCCGACTGAGCACTTCAGTGACAGGCCCACCTGCAGTCAGCCTCCAAGTCACACCCCAACCAGGCCCAATTGGCATCACACCAAGAAGTCGGGGCTCCCCAGGTGCCTGGTGAGCTCCACAGGGCTGGCTGACCGTTGTCCTCCATGGTCAGCTGGAAAGCGGACACCTCCCTTCCATGTCTCAATCACCACCACCCCCCTCCCAGCCCGTGCTGAAGGCCGCTGGTAGACTGACACACACTTGCTTCTTCCAGAGGCTCAGGGCCCGCCACCCAGCACGGTTCACTGGGAGGTTGGGTCCTGCCCAGGCCCCGGCCCTCTGGGGGCAGGCCGGGAATCCCAAGCACCCCCCACAGCACAGCCGTGTCCAAGAACAGAGAGTCTGTAACTGAGTGCCTCCGAGGGCACGCCGAGGGGGCGACCACGGTTTAATGTGCCTCAGAGGCTAGGGGTGGAGGTGGCGGCAGAGCCACTGAGCTACACAGGGCTCTCTTGCACCCGGCCCTCTGCCTGCCCCTCGGTCCGCTCCTGGTTCCAGTCCTTCAGCCCTTCAGGGAGGGACGTGTCCTCATCTAGGCTGCCGGTGCCCTCCACAAACTCCTCGTAGGTGGACTTCTCCGCAAAGGGTCTCGGGCCCAGCAGCTCCACCATGTCTGCCTTCTCCAGGACCTCCTTCTCCAAGAGCCGCTGCCCCACCTGTGAAAACACACGCGCGCGCACACACACGTATGTCAGCCCCCAGCCACCGGAAGGGGCCATCTGGGACCTCACACATCGATCAGCCCTGGCCGCCCAGGGAGACCTCCCTCAGGCTGACCACCTCCAGCCCACGTGCCTTTTCCACCTGCTCGCGACAGCGCATCAGCAGCTCCAGGGTCCGGGCATGGGCCCTGCTGATGAGCTGCCGCACCTCCTCATCGATGAGCTGGGCTGTGGCCTCACTGTAGGGCTTCTCTACCAGCGCCCCGCCCTGGCGCGGTAGGTCAAAGGACACCTGGCCCAGCTTCTCACTCATCCCAAACTGGACGATCTGGAAGCACCCGGGAGTTGGTTAGCCTGAAGCCTGCACCATGCACCTAAGATGCCTGCCCACACCTGGGGTAATGCCAACGTGTGTGATGCCTCCCGCCTGCCCCGCCCCAAGGATATCACCCACGATGCTGCCGCACCCGCACCTGCGAGTAGGCACTCTGTGTGACCTTCCGCAGGTCATCCTGGGCTCCTGTGGTGATCCGTCCGAAAAAGAGCTGCTCGGCGACCCTGCCCCCCAGCAGCATGCACATTCGGTCGAAAAGCTGCTCTCGCGTGTACAGGTACTGCTCTCGGGGCAGGTACTGCGCGTACCCCAGCCCCTTCCCCCGGGGGATGATGGACACCTGCAAGAAGCAGCCAGGGCCCAGGCCACCATCACGCCTGCCCATGGGCACACAGGCCATCCGTCCTGTGGAAGGCACCCACAGAGCACCAGCCCCTCAGGCAGCACAGGACCACCTTCGCCAGGAGGAGGGGACCAGAGGGTGTGGTGGGGCAGAGCTGAGGGGGACGGCAGGACCTCAAGGAGGCGAGGGCACGAGGTGAGCAGCTACAGGGAGCTAACCTTAAGTAGGGGGTCTGCATGCTCCAGGAACCAGCCGACCACGGCGTGTCCAGCCTCGTGGTAGGCCACAGTTGCCTTCTCGCTGGGCTGCAGGATCTGCGTCTTCTTCTCCAGTCCTGGAAACAGGCTCCCCGTGAGCCAGTGGTGGGGCAGGAGGGATTGGGGGTGGGGGTTGGAAGGGGATCCTGGCCCACCACACTCATCACAAGTTCCACTGACCCCTCCCCCCCCAGTGCCTGATCCAAGGACACTGGCTTTAGCCCCATGAGAACAGGTTATGTGAGGGATTCAGGAGACACCTGTGAGGCCCCCACAGCCCCAGAGGATGCTGCCAGAAAGCTGGGGGTGGGAGTGGGGAGGATGGAGGAAGATGACAGGGGTGAAGTGAGGGCAACCAGCTAGCCCATGGAGCCACAGCCCAACAAGCAATGCAGCCCCGGTGCGGGGTTAGGCTCAGCTCAGAGCTGCCAAGACAGCAGGTGGCCGCTGAATGGGAGCTCAGGGACCCTTCTTGTGGACCCCCGGGTGTCCCCCTCTCTGGAGGTTGGAAAACCTTCTCCGCCCCAGTGTACTCTCACCCTCTGACCCACCTCAGGGTGACACAGGTGTTCTGGTCTGGCCCTGGGAGACCTTCGCCGGCTGAGGCTGTGGGGCTGAGGGCAGGGTCCAGGCTGCGCCATGGGGGCCCGGTTCACCATGGTCAGTAGCAGCAGCATCCCAGGATACTGCCCGGCCCCAGGCCTCCAGTCTGGCTCTGACCTCTAAACCGGCTCTCACAGCCACCCTATCTGCAGGTCTCACTGGAGGTCTTGGGTGGAAATTGGGCCCGGACGTGTGCAGACGTGTGGGCTGGATCTCACCTCCCAGGACCCGCTCAATGGCCTGCTCAAAGTGCTTCTCCTGCACACAGGGGCTCAAGTGTCGGGCGGCGATCAGGGCTGCCTCATTGCAGACGTTGGCGATGTCAGCCCCTGCTTGTGGCAGAAAGCTGGGGTCAGCCCTCCCCTTAGGATCGGCCCTGCTACCTCCCCTGAAAACCAGGCTGCCCAGCAAGCAACCCCTGGGGCCTGGCTGAGGCTCATGGCTCCCCTATTGCACAGCTCCCTCCATGTGGCGTTAGGGCACCTGGAAGGGGGCTGACTTAGGTTTTCCTTGAAAAGAAACGAGACAACCACAGGAGGGCAGGTGGGAGCTTGAGCCGCAGCAGGAAGAAGCGTGGCATGTCCCAGTGACCCCAGGTTCTGAGGGAAGGCTGAGGGGACAGGAGTACTGTAGGCAGCCAGCCCTGGGCTGAAGACAAGCCGTGAGGTCCATGACGTCCCCAAGAGAATTCACGTTCTGAGGACCAGTGTCACCTGTGAAGCCCGGGGTGTGTGCGGCCAGCTTCCTTGCCAGAGCATCCTTGCTGAGGCTCTCGTCCAGCTTCAGGGGGCGCAAGTGGACCTTGAAGATGGAGGACCTGCCTTTGATGTCAGGGGGTCCTGGAAGAGAGGCAGGCACCCAGGGCCACATCAGTGTGGGAGGGTGGAGGCGGTGCCCACCATCTGCTCCTGGCCCACCTCAACCCCCCCACCCACCACCCTCCCCACCCCCGGCAGGGCCACCTCAGCATGACATGGCATGGCTGCGAGAGACAGGGAGCAGGGCAGAGGGAGAGTCCTAGAGCCAGGAAGCAGGGCAGAACTAATGCAGTCCCCATAAAAACAACTCCCCAAAAACGTAGACCTAAACTCACTCAGACTTACTGCCATAGAGTCTATGCCCACTCACAGGGCCCCTAGAGGGTCGAGCAGACCGGCCCGGTGGGTTTCAAAGGCTCACTTCCTCCCCACAGAGCAGCCAGTAGGTTTGAACTGCTGACCTTGCAGTTACAGCCTAAATGACAACCACCACACCACCAGGCAGGCACCTTACATCCTGGCCCAGGTGAAGTTGGCATTCCCAAGGCCACCACTTGGCCACAGGACCTTCACGAACAGAGTCCCAGGGAAAGACTGTATACAAGCACACAGGTACAGGACCCAGAGGGCTGTGGTGAAGCCTATAGGACCACCTTTCTCTCCCAGGTCATGGAGAAAGGTTTCCTGACAATGTGCTGGAAAATACAGCTGGGACACCAGACCCAACCAGGAGCCCGCGGACCCTCCTCCTTCTAGGATGTCACCAGTCACCTTTCAGGTACCACCCGCCTCAGCCAGGGGCCCACCCACCCGTAGGTAACTAGGGCAAGATAAGTCCCAGGGGCAGCTACCGATGTAAATCTGCCGGTCGAAGCGGCCTGGCCGCATCAGGGCGGGGTCGAGGATGTCTGGGCGGTTGGTGCCAGCGAGCACAACGACATTGGTGGAAGAGTTGAACCCTGGATACAGAGAGGCAGGTAGCACCTGAGCAGACTGTAGGCCAAGTCCCTAGTCACCTCCCCTCCTCCCGCCCCACCTTCAGGTACATCCCCGCACACCCTCCCTGGCTCCGAGTGCTGGGAGGCGGATGAGGAAAATGAGACACCTGCCCAGAGCTAGACTTGAAGGACTGCCCTGCGGTGGCCATCCCTCCAAGGCACCAATGGCTGGCTAACTGGGCGCCCTGCTGGGACCAAGGGAGGGCAGACTTTTCATCCTGGCCACAGCTCCCAGGGCTGGATGGCCAGTGCTCTCCCTGTGATGGGCTTCATTTGTCTCCTACTTTCTCTGTCATATTCTGGAATGTCCCAGAACCACCTGGGCCTTCCCCCAGGGAGCATCAGGCTGGGCCCACAGCCCTCACTCACCGTCCATCTCCACAAGCATCTGGTTCAGTGTGTTCTCCTGCTCGCTCTGGCCCCCAAAATGCCCCCGGCCACGCTTCCTGCCAATCGCGTCAATCTCGTCGATGAACAGGATGCACGGAGCGCTCTTCCTGGCCATCGCAAACATGTCGCGGACCTACAGCAGGGAGTCAGAGGCAGTCTTGCCCGAGCGCGGCTGCGACAAGCCCACCTAGCCCTGCCAGCTCTCTGTGTCCCACTCCCACAGGGTCCCGTGCTAGTGCAGGACCCACACACTCTGGCCACCAACAGCTGTTGCCAGCCTCCATCCACCCACCCTGGCTGGCCCAACGCCGACAAACATCTCCAGGAACTCCGACCCGTTGACGGTGATGAAGGGCACACTGGCTTCCCCTGCGGTCGCTTTGGCCAAGAGGGTCTTCCCGGTACCAGGGGGTCCTGTGAGCATGGCGCCCTGGAACGAGAACAGGGAGCAAGCGTAGTCTCCAGGTGTGCTTACTGCGACTGTTTCCTCACACAGCTCGCTGCTAAGGGTCATTAACTCAGCCAAGACCTTGCCCAATCTTAGAGGCTCCCAAGACAAGCTCACATGCTACGGACACAGCGCAGGACCGCTCAAGCCCCCTGGCCCCCACCCAGTGGGCGAGGAGACAGGCCAGTGGTTTCTTTTGTTTTTTTTAATCATTTTATTGGTGGCTTGTAAACAGGCGAGTGATTTCTGAGGGGAAACTCCCCGGGTGGCACTGTGGGACCTAAGTGGGTGAGCTGTCAACTCTTCCGGGTCCTACCCCTGGGACTCAGTGAGGCAATCCCTTCTCTTCTCTGATACCCTTCATGACAACAGCGAGACTTCTGAACAGGGCAGGCTCCATTTTCTGTCCCCATGTGACTTCAAGTTGGAGCCTCGAAAGGGGGTGCTGTGTGGCTTCATAAGAATCTACACACTCATGGGTGGGGGCCCAGACCCCACAGCCCTGAGGAGAGTTCACACAGAGCCCCCACCCACCATGCAGAAGGGCTCTGCACCACAAGCTCAGGAGCCAGCCTATTAGCAAAGAATGTTCTAGAAGAGGCATGCTGATGGAATTCCTGGACAGAAAACGCGTAAGGAAAAGCTCACGGTCACACGCCACTGTCCACAGCCCTGAATGACCCTGGGGCATCATCTCCCTGCCCACCAGGAGACCCTTGGCCAGTTGGGAAGCTTCTCAGCAGCTGAGAAGCCTACCCTCTTTTTCACGCATACTCCTATTACAAGCACCTGAGAACTCTGAACCCCTCAAGGCCCAGCCCCTGCAACTCAAGCTAATGAGGGAGTGACAGCTGTCTGAGGGCCTCGTCAGCCTCACTACCGCCCAGCTGCCACAGTCAGCAGTGCACTCCTGCTCGGCACCCACACCTGCACAGGGCAGCAAATCAAACCGGGCTACACAGCCACCTGGGGCTACGATGAGTGTCTGCACCAAACTCCAGATGGAGTCCCACTCAGCGAACGGGCTGTGTGCAGCTAAGGTAGGACTAGACCCATATCAGTGCCTCACAGTGCCATGGGTCCCAGGCCTTCCCATCGCTCACTGCTTCTCAACGGCACCAGATGCCAACTCTTCCCCACAGGCCCAGAGGGCCATAACCGCGTGCTGAAGCAAAGCTAAAGCTGTCAGAGCCTAGCCAGCCCAGCTCCCCAAGTGTGGGCCTCGCTTGGCAGGCTGCCTGGAGGTGTCCGCACTTCCAGCAATCAGTACCTTGGGGATTTTGGCTCCTAAGTCTTGATATTGCTTTGGGTTTTTCAGGAAATTCACAAACTCCATGATCTCCAACTTGGCCTCTTCACAGCCAGCTACGTCGGCAAAGCGCACATCCACACTGTTCTTTAGGATGCGGGCCGTTGTCTCTCCCACGCTGAAGAGGCCCCCGCCACGCCCACTGCGCCCAGCCCCCATGGGGCCCCTCCGCACGGCATACAAGAGGATCCCCACCAGGAGCAGGGTGGGCACCAAGCTGCGAAAGAAGGAGCTGGGAACCAAAAAAAACAAAACAGCATCAGGGCGACTCAAGAACTTGAGGCCGACGTAGAACAGGCTGTGCTAGGACGCCATTCTGCGACACATGACACAGTGCATGTTCCTTCGGGTTTCAACGTCCACGTACGGACTGTGGCATTCCCCAGGGGCCGGGCCTCATGGTGGGGCGATTTAACACTGGGATACCTGGAGAGACTGCGGTAGCCACAGCGGACACCTTGCCCTTTGCGAGGTAACTGAGCTCCCGGTTCAGCTCTCCCCTCTCTTCTCTCTCATAGGCCAAGGAGCACAAGGAGGCTGAGGGCTGAGGCCTCCTGAACCACCCGCCCGCTGTCAGCATCACTCGTGCTCCAGAGCAAACCACATAAACACACCGTCCTGCGCGACCAAAGGAGGGAGGCCTGAGTCCACAAGATGTGGCTGCCCAACTGGACTGCAGACAGCATGGGCCCAGCGGAACTCTGCCTGTCCCACAGGGACAGAAGTGACTTGAGGCACACAGGTGGCCCCAGGCTGGCCAGAGGGACCTGGCATCACACATTCAGGGCAGAAGGGACTAGAGTTGGGAACCCAAGGCCCAGGGGCTCAGTAAGGACAGGGGCCCCTGTAGCTTCTGGGGACCCCAGAGGCTTCCTAAGAAGGGACATTTCTGCTAGCGTGACCCCGAGAGCCAAAGCTCGAATCTTCCCGCTGCTCTACACTGGCCCCAGGGAGACAAGCGCCGACTCTGCCCCTCGCTGCACACACAGCAACCACTGGCTCACAAGCAGCCCGGCGGCCCGGCCTCAGGCGTGCTCACCCGTCGCTCTCTGTGGTGTACACAACTGCGGCGTGGTTGGCCGGCTCGATGCCCAGCTCCCACTGCGCTGATTCCAGGTTCCGCTCAAACGTGTCCACACTGCCAATGTTGAACCACACCGACTTCTACCAAGACACAGAGAGCTGACAGCCAGTAGAAGGGGCCTTGGCCCCCAGCCTCCTCTGCAAGTGCTTCCTCCAGCAGGGCCCCTCCCCAGCCCACCTTCCACAGCAGGGCTGAGCCCTGTAGCTGAGAGCGTGGAGCTCCAGGATCAGAGTCTGACACACTGTAACCACTGCTGGGACCTGCCCCTGATGACATCTTGCTGTGCTTGCTTTTACCGGTGGCCACAATCTTACACGGGACCAACTGCAAGTCTGTTGCCCATCAACAGAAACACTAGCAAACCGG